TTTAAAATTATGATATTTACAGATACCAAAAAATGGTTTCTAACTTGTACGGTTGCAGAGAAATAGACGATTTTCTACAAGTCACTTTTCAAGGTTTTTGGTCTATAAAAGTGGCAATTATTATTCGATTTATATAAAATGTTCACCATGTGATGCAGTGATGGGATTTTAGCCGTATATTCCGGACTTGTCCGAATCTTTTTTCGAAACGCCCAAAATTGTCCGACCGGGAATATGCCCAATCGGACATCAAGACATGGTGAATAATATTCAAATTCCAAAATTAATATAGTGTACTGAGTGTATAACTACTGTGCAAGCCGATTATCGTTGATAATAGGCTGGATTGATTAGGTAATTAAGTGATCGACTATTTATCGTGTTATATCATCTTACACACCTACCTTGATTAACTACTATTCTGCCTTGATTGGCTGACTTAATTCTTTATCGGACAATTCATCAAATCAATCCTGAACAGAAGTCATTGCTTCTCCTTTGTCGGACGATATATCAATCCAATAAGAGTGATTATAACTTAATCCGATTAACCCGTGATTTCTCCAGACCATTGTCTCACGTTTTAATCTCCTTTGTGTCGGACAATAACACGTAGAAATTAGTCATAGATGTCACATATCCTGATAGTATATAACACCTCAAATCAACATACATTGTATCCGATAACTTGTCTGTGATATATTTTCGGTGGAAGCCGAAGTTAAATAAAGATATTTCACACACATGGCGCTTATAGAGTTCAGTAATTAAAATGAAAGTATAAATCTCGCGAGACACGTGAAATTAAGAGATGTATACGTGCTGAATTCAATACGCCTGATGTCCGAGAAAAGATTCTATTTTGATGGCATATTGTCGGATTTATGATCATATTTTGAAGGGGGTTTATGTCTTTAAATAAATAAATAAATAAACACGCTAAGAAATGTTGACGAATATTTCGATTGGAATGATGTAAGTAGTTAATTGTTTTAGACGATAGCGCGTGCTACAGTCGAATGCAATTATTTAGCAGTTGGTGTCACTCGCTCATTAGAGCGTCGTTAACTACGGTTTACGGCCAAATAAATTTCGGGATGTCATTTTTTTACCTTCCGTATATAAATCGAAACGGAGTATCAGACGAATGTCGGACTTTGCTGAAAATTGTACCGACGTATGACCCGAAAACAGTAATTTTGGGGGAGTTTGAAACAAATCGGCAGCAGTCGGCACGCTGCCAATTCTATAGTATTACGATGTCATGTAATTTTGTAGGAATATTATTGACATAAATTTGAATACCGTACGGGTTTTAAACATGAAATATAACGAGGTGCACCTATTTTTTTTCGGGAAAAAATGTCCGACATGAAATTTTTTGAAATCCCATCACTGATGTGATGCCATGTGATGTTCTGATTTCATAAAACTACTTTAACATTTTCATTATCACCGGAAGTAATGTAATTTTGTCAGGATCACTTACATGTAACAAATGTATACAATGAATTGATATTGCTGGATTTGGTTGATTCTGCGTACATTTTATTTGATGTGTGCAATGCTTATATGGAAACCTGTTTAATGGTTTCATCGGTACCGGAAGTGACATGTTCAAGGCTAACAGGGTACCGGTGAAACGCATCTTTACTGCATCGCAGTTCTAGTTTTCATTATATTTACATTTTCATTGTAACTGCTTCTGTGATTGGTGTTGGAAAATCAGACTTTTCTAGATTCTGCAATGTAGGAAAATATTTCAAGTTAAAATCTCAATAAAGTACCTTTTCCCTTAAAGCATACTGCATGGCATATGCCCGTCTTCATTATCCCAGTCTTCTTTATCCCAGTCAGTACAGAAAAGTAGGATTTTTAACCTGCAATTTCATTTCATTTGTTTTGGGAACTTGCCTTAATGTGATTTGTCTTTATCAGCAGACACATTACACTATACAACTGGTACTGTGGAATCTCGGGTAAATAGCGTTATTATCTAATCTATGTAGAATTATTCATAAATATCATTGAATTTGGCCTAATAGCATTCAATTTGTCCTTGTATACAACTTTAATCTCAACGTGCATTTTTGATTACCAAGCGTTAATTGACTAGTGTTTAGTTTGTCGACACGTGTGTAATTATAAGCGTCCCGCTTAATTTTGACGACTGTTCAATAATTAGTTGGACCGTTCAATTTCCCGAGTTGTGATTAAAATTAGTCAAGGTGTCCAATTACGCCAGGTATTCAATTCTGTTGCCGAACATCCAATTTCACATTCGTTGTTCAGATTTTAACAATATGTTTATATTGAAGGAGTTGTAATATAGTAATGCTGCCGTGAAAACGTGTACATGTATAATGTACAGGCCGGTTTGAATAACAACAAAATGAGTTCAGTAATCTCGGGAAAACATTTACCGGCGTTTTGTATCGGTTAGGATTTTTTTCTAACGCACTGTACATGCATATAACGTCGGCCAAAATGTATGCAACAATGAACAACTTACAATTTTTTTACAACGTATCATTACATCTTCGTCTATAACTTAGATGTAATCCATCAATTAATGGCTGCTATAAAATCCAAACTTTAAATTATATACGTCATACGATGAGCTTGCAGCTTCAGTTAATCTAAATCAATCATTCATAGAGCACTCGATCCATTCCACGGGGCGCTTAACGGTAAGTCACGTGGTCAGAAACGCGCCAATATTGGGACTATTTTCTTAGTCTGTCTGTGTTAATCGGCGACGAATCTCCTCTATGACAATATACATCTACTTTAAATGTCGCCAAATTCATTTCGGTGGAAGCGGATATTGAATAAAGCCATTTCACACACGTGTACATTACATACGCATGTCATATATTTATACAATGTCCACAATGTGTTACATTAATTGTCGCCTTCACTCCGTTATTTTGAGTAGCCTACACTTTCTGAATGATTCCATTCTTTTGTACGAATGCATGACCACTTGGACCAACTAATAGACCACTCTGACGAAACAAAAAAGACTACTCGGACCATACAAAAGGACTACTCCGACCAATAATAAAGTGTTGTTTTAATACGTTTATATTTGTGTTTGTATTAATATGACTACTCGAATCAATAATAAAGTGTTGTTTTAATTGTTGTTTTAATAATTGATAATAGTGTTTGTTTTAATATGCACATGTTTTCTTTGAAATAATAAAGTGTTATCTACTTACCCGTCGCATTGTTTCATCATGAAGCACATCAAAGAAAAACACTTAAAATGTTGATGTAATAAAGATATATATTTGCTAATATGTACTTACCGGCAGCGGATATTCTAAAGTTATGTATATACTCACCTATAAATTGTTTGCCTCTTTGTATTATGATACAATATGTTGTTAATGATTAAAATCATTAATAACATATTGTCTGTATTATATTTTTAAAATGAGTAAGTCAAGCCTTATAATGTAATTTAATTGGTCCGTGTGGTCCTTTGGGTTGGTCCGAATAGCAAGGATAAATATGGGTCCGATATTATGCAATATAGATGCAGGTTTTTTTTGGGTTTTTTTCTCCTTTTTTTTTCTAACAATATTTATTCAATATTTACATATTATAAAGATACAATGTTCAATTATGGGATCTGAAAACAAGCCGTACAGTTATATAAATGCATTGTTTATAATTATAATCACGATTTACATACAGTTATAATTACAAAAGCAAATGCAGGTTCAATCAAGAAACTTGCGTGTTCACCGTCTAGTATAACTTTCGAGCTTCTGATATCTAGATTTTAAACGTAAACATATACATGTATATACAAACTTATAGATTGCAGTTACACGGGGTACATGTATATGCAGTAGCAATTCGGGAAGTTGGACGTACAAAAGAATGGAATCATTCAGAAATTGTACTCAAAATAAGAAAATTATAACGGAGTGAAGGCAATAATTACATGTAGGTCTACACACTCGTGGACATTGTATAAATATATGACATGCGCATGTAATGTACAGGTGTGTGAAATGGCTTTATTCAATATCCGCTTCCACCGAAATGAATTGGGCGACATTTAAAGTAGATGTATATTGTCATAGCGGAGATTTGTCGCCAATTAACACAGACAGACTAAGAAAATAGTCCCAATATTGGCGCGTTTCTGACCATGTGACTTACTGTTAAGCGCCCCGTGGAGTGGATCGAGTGCTCTATGAATGATTGATTTAGATTAACTAAATCTGCAAGCTCATCGTATGACGTATATAATTTAAAGTTTGGATTTTATAGCAGCCAATAATTGATGGATTACATCTAAGTTATAGACAAAGATGAAATGATACGTTGTAAACAAAAATTGTAAGTTGTTCATTGTTGCATACATTTTGGCCGACGTTATATGCATGTACAGTGCGTTAGAAAAAAATCCTAACCGATACAGAATGCCGGTAAATGTTTTCCCGAGATTACCGAACTCATTTTGTTGTTATTCAAACCGGCCTGTACATTATACATGTACACGTTTTCACGGCAGCATTACTATATTACAATTCCTTCAATATAAACATTTCGTTAAAATCTGAACAACGCATGTGAAATTGGATGTTCGGCAACAGAATTGAATACCTGGCGTAATTGGACACCTTGACTAATTTTAATCACAACTCGGGGAAATTGAACTGTCCAACTAATTATTGAACAGTCGTCAAAATTAAGCGGGACGCTTATAATTACACACGTGTCGACAAACTAAACACTAGTCAATTAACGCTTGGTAATCAAAACTGCACGTTCCGATCTTATTTGTATACAATCACAAATTGAATGCTATTAGGCCAAATTCAATGATATTTATGAATAATTCTACATAGATTAGATATTAACGCTATTTACCCGAGATTCCACGGTACCAGTCGTATAGTGTTACTTAGTGGGATAATCTTTTTTTAAACAATGATATTTATGATGAACCATTACTAGAGTGTGATCTTTTCTTACAGCTAGAAGATTGAAATGGAGCCCCGAAGAGATATCAGAACTGCAAATGTTTCTTCAAAGAAAATTTGAATAGAAAACCCACCCCGGGGCGGGCCCAAATTGAGTCTGTCCTGAACAAATCGAAAAAATTAAAATTTAGAAAATAGGAAACCATCAAATAAAAGTGTGGAATATGGTACAAAAGCAGTAATTTTTTGTTATGACTAAACGACAATTCCACGGTAACAGAATAAAGTCTAAATTTTCTTAGAATTTTAATATTCTGTAGAATTTTCTTCAAATAAACCTGTTGAATAGATCTATTCGTTTAATTTTAATTTCCTTTGTCCCCCCTGGGAGACACGGTGGCTAGGTGGGTAGAGGCATTGGCTCGCTAACCCGGTGGTCGGGTGTTTGATCGCTGCATTGGCCAACAAAGTTCATCCAGATTTCCCTGCAGAGTCCCCCCTTGTCAGTGGTCCAGGACAGGGCCTGGCAATGGGCAATGTATAATTGTTCGCATGATACGAAAAACCAAGGTCCTGTGTGCAAATTGGTGTGCATGTAAAATATCCCTTGGCAATTGAAATTCAATATAAGAGTAGGTCAAGTGGTCAAAATTTCCTTCATAGTACACTGTATGACGTATGCCTGTCTTCATTTGCTCTGTCTGCAGAGTATGTCCAGTGCCATAGTTTTGGAGGGAAATGGCTTGACACAAACTAGGTCATTTCGGGACTAACATATGGTTTAATTTTATTTCAATAATTTGCTTGTACATAGGGGTCCTGAGCAGCAAGAGGACCCGGAGAGAACCCACGTGGTTGAACAGGCAACCCTCTGATCCCAACGTGCACACGTTAACCATTCCAGCCAAACGTTACCCATCAATTGAACCCAACAAGCATAAGCACAAAATACCCATCATATGCCCAAATGTTGGTAGATGGACAACTCAATAAGGATCATTTTGTAAGAAACAAAAAAGTTACCCAACAAGTATAAGCACTAAATATGGAATATGCCCATTGTCTGCTTAGGTTAAGCAGACATAAGCAATTTGATTGGTTGATGCTTTGGGACACGATAACTTTAGTTCTAATTAAGTGAGAGTGAGGACACTTGGTATATCGTTTTATCACATCAATACCTTGACTAAGGTCGATAATGAGCATTTTCTGCTCAGGGTAAGCAGAGCAATAAGCAATTTGATTGGTCAATATTTTGGAACACAGTAAATCTCCTAATTGAGGTAGAATTTTCAAACTTGGTGTAGGCGTTCATTAGGTGAATGCCTTGATGGGGTTCTATGATAAACATTGTCTGTTTACCGTAAGCAGAGATAAGCAATCTGATTTGTTGATGCTTTGGGGCACGATAACTTTGGATATAATTATGTGAAAGTGGGCTATACTATATACCGGAAAACACCATGTTATACTGAATACCGGAAAACACAAAAAAAAAACTAAATGCCGGAAGAAAACACACTAAATACCAGAAAACATCCTAAATAGGTAACTTGGAGCCTGGTCCTCTGGAAAACACCGGAAAACCTAACCCAAACCCACCGCTGGTCCTCTGGAAAACACCGGGAAAACCTAACCCTAGCCCTAACAATAACCCTAACTCTCCTCAAACAGAGGAAAAGGCTATTTAGTGTGTTTTCTGGTATTTAGTGTGTTTTCCGGTATTTAGTGTGTTTTCCGGTATTCGGTATTAGACCGGCAGCCCAGAGCACTTTGATCAAACGAACGAGATACCAATATCTGAGTATCACAATGGTTACTGTGTAACACAGCATATTCAGATATGGATGTCTGCCGGGGTCCAGTGTCTGCGTTTGGCCTTTTGGGCCCCAAAGAGGGCACCCAAAAATGGGCTGGATCAAACGTGGATACCACTCGGAAACAAGTTTAAATGAACAGATACATCTCCCTGAGTATAAAACAGGCCCCGCCAGACAAATTCTCCTCTGCATAGGGTTTGCCAGACGCCCCCGAAGGGGCCCCAAATTTTGAGCTAGATTAAACATTGGAGGTATCATACGAAACAAAGTTAAAATGAACAATTAGACTCTACTTAGTATAAAAATCCCAATGCCAGAAAAATTGTCTGCTGTAAAATCCCGCCAGACACCCCCAAAAGTTGGGCCCCGCAGATATCGTGTTGAAAATGAGCTGGATCAAACATTGTTGATACCAAATGGAACTAAATTTAAATGAACTGGTACCTCTCATTGAGTACAAAATGGGCCTGGCCCGACTAATTCTCCTCAGCAAAGGGCCCAAATCTTGAGCTAGATTAAACATTGGAGATACCATACGAAACAAAGTTAAAATGAACAATTAGACTCTACTTAGAATATAAATCCCAATGCCAGACAAATTGTCTGCTGTAGAAGCCCCGCCAGACACACCCAAAAGTTGGGCCCCATGGACATTGTTTAACGCCCATATTTTTATGTGGACGTATATTGTCTTCGCTCTGTCTGTCCGTCTGTCCACAATTGTTTGTGAACACTCTACAGGTCACAATTTTTATTCTAATTTCAATGAAACTTGAAATATAGGTTTATCACCCTAAGATCTCGGTTCCTTTCGATATTGGCATGAATCGGACTGTAACTTCATGGATTATGGCTCTTGATTGTATGAAAAATCACATTTTCGATATTCGCGCATATCGGACCATAACTTCTCGAATTATGGCCCCTGATTGTGCGAAAAATCACATTTCTAGCTCACAATAGAGGTCACAATTTTTATCCGATTTAAAAAACCGTTACAATACACTATACGACTGGTACCGTGGAATCTCGGGTAAATAGCATTATTATCTAATCTATGTAGAATTATTCATAAATATCATTGAATTTGGCCTAATAGCTTTCAATTTGTCCTTGTATACAACTTAAATCTCAACGTGCAATTTTGATTACCAAGCGTTAATTAACTAGTGTTTAGTTTGTCGACACGTGTGTAATTATAAGTGTCCCGCATAATTTTCACAACTGTTCAATAATTAGTTGGACCGTTCAATTTCCCGATTTGTGATTAAAATTAGTCAAGGTGTCCAATTACGCCAGGTATTCAATTCTGTTGCCGAACATCCAATTTCACATGTGTTGTTCAGATTTTAACGAAATGTTTATATTGAAGGAGTTGTAATATAGTAATGCTGCTGTGAAAACGTGTACATGTATAATGTACAGGCCGGTTTGAATAACAACAAAATGAGTTCGGTAATCTCGGGAATACCAGCATTCTGTATCGGTTAGGATTTTTTTCTAACGCACTGTACATGCATATAACGTCGGCCAAAATGTATGCAACAATGAACAACTTACAATTTTTTTTTACAACGTATCATTACATCTTCGTCTATAACTTAGATGTAATCCATCAATTATTGGCTGCTATAAAATCCAAACTTTAAATTAAATACGTTATACGATGAGCTTGCAGCTTCAGTTAATCTAAATCAATCATTCATAGAGCACTCGATCCACTCCACGGGGCACTTAACGTTAAGTCACATGGTCAGAAACGCGCCATTTTTGGGACTATATTCTTAGTCTGTCTGTGTTAATCGGCGACAAATCTCCGCTGTCACAATATACATCTACTTTAAATGTCGCCCAATTCATTTCCGTGGAAGCGGATATTGAATAAAGCCATTTCACACACGTGTACATTACATACGCATGTCATATATTTATACAATGTCCACAATGTGTTACATTAATTGTCGCCTTCACTCCGTTATTTTGAGTAGCCTACACTTTCTGAATGATTCCATTCTTTTGTACAAATGCATGACCACTTGGACCAACTAATAGACCACTCGGACGAAACAAAAAAGACTACTCGGACCATACAAAAGGACCACTCGGACCAATAATAAAGTGTTTTAATACGTTTATATTTGTGTTTGTATTAATATGACTACGCGAATCAATAATAAAGTTTGTTTTAGTATGCATATGTTTTCTTTGAAATAATAAAGTGTTATGTACTTACCCGTCGCATTGTTTCATCATGAAGCACATAAAAGAAAAACAATTAAATTGTTGATGTAATAAAGATATATATTTGCTAATATGTACTTACCGGCAGCGGTTATGTATATACTCACCTATAAATTGTTCGCCTCTTTGTATTATGATACAGTATGTTATTAATGATTAAAATCATTAACTAGAACTGCGATGCAGTAATGACGGGTTTCACCGGTGCTACGTTACCCTAAACAAGCCACTTCCGGTACCAATGAAACCATTAAACAGGTTTCCACATAAGCATTGCACACATCAAAACAAATGGACGCCGAATCAACCAAATCCAGCAATATCAATTCATTTTATACATTTGTTACATGTAAGTGTACAGTACTTCCGGTGATAATGAAAATATTCAATTAGTTTTATGAAATCAGAAATGACATAAGGCATCACATGGTGAAAATTTTATGTAAATCGAATAATAATTGCCACTTTTATAGACCAAAAACCTTGAAAAGTGACTTGTAGAAAATCGTCTATTTCTCTGCAACCGTACAAGTTAGAAACCATTTTCTGGTATCTGTATGATCGTATCATAATTTTAAAAACATTACAAATCAGATTCATTTGAATAAAATATCTGTTTTGAAGGCTAAAAATACAGTTTTTGCCAAAATGACGTTACTTCCGGTGATAATGAAAATCTTAAATTACTTGTATGAAATCGTAAATGGCATTAGGTATCACACAGTGAAAATTTCATGAAAATCGAATAATAATTGACACTTTTGTGGACAAAAAACCTTGAAAAGTGACCTGTTGAAATTTGCCTATTTCTCCGCAACTGAACAAGTTAGAAACCATTTTGTGATATCTATATGATCGTATGGGTTCATTCTTTTAGTTGATTTGAATCAAATATCAAAATTTTAAACAAATAACAAATACGACTCATTTGAATAAATTATTTGTTTCGAAGGCTATAAATACAGTTTTTGCCCAAATTTCGTCATTTCCGGTGACATTGAAAATGTTAAATTGAGTTGAACTAGTCACAATTAACATTATGCATCAAATGGTGTCACTTTTATGAAAATCCAATAATAATTGACTCTTTTACAGGCACAATAGCGTAAAGAGTGACTCATGCAAAATTGACCATTTCTCGGCAACTACACATATTACAAATTAATTTTCACATACATTCTCTCCGTATAGATTATTGCTACGAGTTTATGAAAGTTACGAAGTAATATTTTAAAATATGAAAACGCTTGATGGGTTGTAAATAGCCTAATTTTACACCTTTTTTCACC